TGATGTTCTTACAACGATTTTGGTAAAATTAGTATAGCAATTTCTAATGGCGTCTCAGAGTCGCCGCTCGAGTGCAGGAGGTTAAACGTTGCAAGCCGGTGGCTGGGTCACTTTTGACTCGGTATATTTAAATCGTTCGCTTAAATTATTCAATTTACATGGCTTCCAAGAAGATATATAGTATTGTAATCAGTTTCATGTTATTTTGCTTGTTTATCAAGATACGAAGGACACCTTCAATTTTTTAAATGGAATAGTTCATATTTATTCCTGAATTCGGATGAACCGTTGAATTCTACATAAAAAAGTATTACACCAAACGCGGCTTACTATATGCAGTTACCGAGATATTTTTTTGTATATAATATATTTTTACAAAATATATTTTACGAGTTATTCGAGGTCGTCATGTTACTGGACTCACCCTGTATATACAGGCTGTCCCAAAATTATGGTATTTCTGGGAAATGAGAGGTTCCTGAGAACATTTCAAGCAACTTTTTCCTTAGTGAAAATGTTCTACGAGGCTTCGTTTACGAGTTATTAACGAAAAACGCCGACCAATCAAAGACGAGCTCGGTTGGCGCACGGCAGCCGAGCCAATCAGCGGATCCCTGGACTCCGACCGCTCGTTGGCTCGGCCGCCTCGCGCCAATCAGTGGATCTAGGCTTCGACCGCTCGTTGGCACGGCCGCCTCGCGCCAGCCGAGTGCTCGCCTCTCATTGGTCGCCGTTTTTCGTTAATAACTCGTGAACGAAGCCTCGTAGAACATTTTCGCTAAGGAAAAAGTCGCTTCAAATGATTTCAGGATCAGTTCTCCGGAACTAATTTCCCGGAAATACCATAATTTTGGGACGCCCTGTATAATACACACACAGCGTGACGCAGTATCGAAACAAATACCTGCAAATAAACAAAGAATCGCAAAAGAACATTACTTTCATCATCGTCATCGATGTTCCCGCGAAAGAAACGACGTTCGAGACGAGCATCCCGAGCGAAGTCGAAGAAAAAAAAAGAGAAATCAACGAAACCAGATTGTAAACAAGCCTCGTTAAAAGATTAAATTCCGGCGGTGAGGCTCGAAGGCCGGAACGCCATTTTGCGAGGGGGTTCGATTTGCATGTGGCAGCAGGATCACGCGACCGACGACGACACCGCGCGAACCATCGAGGATATTTGGAGTTGGAGCACGACAGGTCTAGACAGCCGTGGATGCAAACGGAACAGATGATCGCTTAAGATTCCGTCGGCGTTTCGCGGAAGTCCGAACTTCCTCGAGGGTTTTTCGGGACAGCCCCCCCCCCTCCCACCACCACCCCCCTCTCTAACCTTCATCGGGTAATCCTATCACGCGCCGTGTTCTCTTCGCTTTCCGTGTACTTTTTACAGCTCGTGTTCAACGCCGGATAATCGTTGGCCGCGCGACACTCGCCGAGACGGCGCGCGCGCGCGCGCGCGCGTGTGTGTGTGTGTGTGTGCCGGTTCAACGAGACTCCGATTTATGATTCCACGTTTACGAGCCGCTTTTAAAGCGTCCAAAGAGACGCGCGGCGGCAGGGAAGAGAGGGGAGAAGCAAAGGATAGGGGGAAAGAGAGACAGAGGGAGAGAGTGCAAGTTTTCCTTCCGGTTAAAAAGTCGCGCGCGAGATGGACTATTTATACGACCATTAGCTTACGATCTTCTCCGTTCGTCCTTCTATAAATATCGGCACGCCGATGCACTAGTCCCGTTTCGTCATCTCCTCGGCGACTCTCTCCCCGCTTCGCGATTAGAGCCTGGCTCTCGTCTCGCGGCTGTCTCCGCCGAGGAGAAGCGCGATAACGCGTCCTCGTGTCGCTGTTCTTCCCGTTCCGTGCCGCGACAATGCTGTTCAATCGCAATCAAATTCCGACGATCTGTGTTCGGTTCGATAGCGTGATAAATATAAGAAAGAATTCGGCAGAGATTCGATCTTCGAGAGATTTTCCTGAAACTCGATGGAGAATCGATTCGGTTAGCAATCGAACTCGCGCGAAACGAAAGGTTCGAAGTTCGTCGAGGACCGTGAGAAATTCCGTTCGATCGCAGGACCCAGTAAAATCGCGCGAGGTTAACCGTGCACTCGGCTGTTAACCCTTTCAGTGCCGAGCAATATGAACGTACCTAAGCGAGCGATGCCGGATTAGTTTGACGAATTTGCTGAGGTTTGGGAGAAAGCTCGTAAAAAGTAAGAATGATACTTGCGAAATTCGAGAGGAAGCGTATTACGAAATAATGGGAGAATAAAGTAAGGCTAATTGTATTTAAATCTTTGTTGAAAATCATACGAGTAAAATATATATATATACATATAATAATCGATTTTACTTTTATATTATATATTTTTTTATTTTATTTTATGTTATAATTGATTTTTCTCTTTTTCTCTAAAAATATATAATATAAAAATAAAATCAATTATTATATGTATATATATATTTTATTCGTCAC